GAGAGAGAGAGAGGTGGGGGATTTAATTTATCAAGAATAATTATTTCGATATATCTACTCCGATGATTTCTACTCAAAACAAAATTCATTAGTTATTCATATTTATTCTAATTATTTAAGATTATTCTACAAAAAGTCTGAATATCTAAGTTGTCTGTCACTATCCGATCGATTGCTTCATTATCTTAAATCTGAATAACGATTTCACGTAACTTTAGACGTAAAGCTAGTTCTATGAGCTATACATGCGATGCGATTTGCAATAGTAGCATGTGAGATAGATACTTTCCGCGTTCCAGGGCTTTATTCAGCCTCTCTTAGTCATAGCCTAAACCACGTTGTGCATACCCTCGTAAAACGAGGATGCTCACGTACGAGACGCGCACGGAGGCGAGGAGAAACGCCCACTCGTAACAGAGCCGAAGTGCTTGCCGGGAATTTGCAATTCCCACCGGGCATTCGGGCGCTCTCGAATTTTGGAAAATTCCATCGCGAAATCCCCGGCCGGTTAAATCGTGCTGCTTACGTCGATCGAACACGTAACGAAGTAGCGAAATCCCAACGTTTAAGATAATCCCCGTTTGTGATTTTGATCTAAATCACAGATGGGAATTAGTTGCAGCTTTCGGCTCGATTTTTTCATTGACGCCTCCTGCCCCTTCTTGCCGCTCGCATGCTAGCAACGAGTCGCCAAACGCGCGTAACTAAAGTGCGCGATACTCAGCCTCAGGAATGTCGATATCACAAATGCAACAAGATAATAAATATGAGATAAATATAAATTTTCACATCACCTGTGAAATACTATTATTGAGAAACGCGTCAATATAGAAATCTATTGTCCCATATTTATTATCATGTTGCATTGTTGTGATATGGACATTCCTGAGGCTGAGTATCGCGCATTTTAGCGGGGTCCAAACGCTACGTTTTGTTCAACGTTTTTTAAAGATGTTTAATTGGCCCTTTTTGGTAAAAAAATTGCAAAAGTTGCACTTTCTTCATGATTTCGCGCAACTAAGTGGACAAAATTGTACTGCCTAGACATCCCTTGATTGCAACGTTTTACCTGCGCAGTTTGACCTGTGTGGACAAAATATTGGACAAAACGTAGCGTGTGGACCCCGCTTTAGCGCGTTTGGCGACTCGTTGCTAGCATGCGAACGGCAAAAAGAGGACAGTAGGCGTCAATCAGAAAAATCGAGCCAAAAGTTGCAACTAAATCTCTGATCTAAATAACGCATGAGATCGACGCATAATGACATCATGCTGAGTATATAAAATGAATTTTATATTAAAGTACAATCCATATATATATATTAATATCAGTAAGAGAAATTGTCGACGAAGTCGATTATTCGAATCAGAAATACGAAGAAAGAAATTATAGAGAGAGAATTATAGAAGAATAAATAAAAAAGTCATTATTTTATAATTATTTTCGCATTAGACAAATATTCTCTTTGCTTCATAATCTGTCTTGATTTATCTCTTTCATTCAACATATTATTTAATTACGTGCTGTTGAAATTTTCAACTAAATCCCAGAGCATAGCTTTTGTCCGGATATGTTGCACTTTTAAGTCTATCCACGCGTTTGACTCTCGAAAGTATAATACCTCCGTGACTTGAAACGGATCTACGAAAAAGAGAGAAAGAGAAAAGAGAGAGCTTAAGCTTGCGCGGTGTTTTCACTCGCTGTTGAATAGCGGACAAAAGCGACAGGGATGACCGGCGTTGGCTTAAAAGTTGTACCATATTTTAGGGAACGACTTCAAGGAAGCCAGTAGCTGGCAACAGATTTTTTTTTTTAAACTTTGTTAACTCTCTAGCACGACTCTGATTTTTTTTTCTTTCGAGTTGCGGAAGACGTCGAAATCGATATAAATCGATGGTAATTGATGTATTATTCGCGCGGCCCGTTCAACTTCCCCTTATTTCAATCGTCAGGTCAAGCCGTGACCATCAGTTTACTTGGCGTTTAAATACCTCCAAAGTTTCTCCGTTTCGTCAAGCGACGGTCGGGTGGCTGTAAGATCTTGCCAGACTTATAACTGACTCTCACATAGTGAAGTAACGCAGATAATTTGTTCGTAATCTTTTGTTCACCTAAGATTTATCTCTATCTATACATTCAAATGTTCCTATATTTTTATGTATGTACTTATTTCTCCGATTAGAATGACGGCGCGTTCATAAACTTTCAATTATTTATGCCGTTTTATTTAGCATGCTGCAATTCAAAATCCATTTTCGAGCACTCGCATTAATTCCATAAACACGTTTGACGGTAAATGTATCGACATTTCGAGCATATTGTTAATGGAAAAACGAGAGAAAGTTCGATTATCGCGAGTCGTGTTTCCGGTTAGCTCCGCGCAGCTGCTGGAATATTAGATACACACGAAAGCAAGACATAATTCATTTTGGTTTCGACGCATGATTTGTCATCCGCTCGATACACATTTCGTAACGGGAATACGAGAAAAGAATCAACGGCACCGATATAAATTTTCCTTATTGAATGTCGATCGTACCTTTTGTGTTAGAATGATATGATCGCCGATTTCGTCGTGAATATCGATAACATCGGAAATGAGAAAACTGCTTTCATGACATATGTTGCTTAAAAATATATCTAATTAGGACCATAAATGCGCATTATATAACAGCAGCAAACAAGTACAAAAAGTTCCAATTAAAAAATGGAAATATTGTTAGGTTCAGTAAAAGAGTCAGAAATTACAAATAAATTAGACAAATTTGGATATGCTCAGCGTTCTTTGAATTAGAAGACGGCTGTACATTATCGGCACAAACATCTTTGAGCCAAATATTTTTCTTTTAACTTCTAATCCAACATGAGGTCATGATCCTAAACAAATATGGTATGTAGGTAGACGTTAAATTTTAGTCACGCAGCGTCCGTTATAATACATAGAAGTAATTGTACGCAGCGCTACTTTCTTTTTAATATTATTACAGTCTTAGATAAAAAAAAATTAACAATTATCTGTGTGATATGGCGAGTAAGGTAAAAAATACATTTAATATAATTTACACTATAAAAATATGCAAAAGAAAGAAATTATTATATATTTTAATAATATTTTAATAATATTTTAGTCGAAAATTAAAGATATAGAAGCACTTCATTACGAAATAACCAATTTTAATGGGGTGAGTGAAAGAAAAAAATTTATATAATTTATACTATAAAAATATGTGCAAGAGAAAAAATATTATTAATATAATATTTTCTTAAATAATATTAATATAATTTTATATAATATTATTATAATATATAATATACAATAATATAATTTTATTCAAAATAATATTAATATAATCTTGTTTAGATGAAAATTTCAATGAAGAAAAAATCTAAACCTAAACCTAATACCGAAACAGATGCTTCATCACTTAAGGTGATTAAAATAAAACATATATAATATAATTTATTCTATAAAAATATGCAAAAAAAAAAAGAAATATTATTACTAATATAATCTTTTTAGATTAAAAATTCAGAGGAGGATAAAGAGAACCTTCATAAAGTAGCAAGTCACGATGAAACGAATAAGGTAAAAGAAACATAATGTAATTTACACCATACAAAAATAAGTAAAAAAGAAAGTATTATTAATAACATAATATCTTTAACTCTAAGACTTCTTACTCTAAGACTATCTTACTCAAGACTTCAAAAAAAAAAAGGCGCCGTAATAAAAAAAACACTAGTAATGAAGCGAGTGAGGTAAAAAAACATCATATAATTTACACTATATAAAAATATGTAAAAAAGGAAAGTATTATTAATAATATAACATTTTCAGAGTAAAATTTCAAGCAAAGAAATGTGCCATGATGAAAAAACCACAAGTGATAAAGCGAGTGAGGTAAAAAATACATAATATAATTCACACTATATAAAAATATGCAAAAAAAGAAAAGTATTATTAGTAATAACATTTTTAGAGTAAAATTTCAAGCAATAAAAGGCACTATGACAAAAAAACCGAATGTGAAGCGAGTGAACCAAGTGAAGTAGAGAGTGAACCAAGTGAAGAAGCGAGTGAGGTAAAAGATACTTAATATAATTTACATTATAAAAATATGCAAAAGGGAGAAGTGTTATTAATAATGTAATCTTTTCAAAGGAGAAAATTGAAGACTCGAAAGTGTCCGTTCACCAAATTCGCAAGTGTGATGGGGTAAGTAAAGGAAAAGACACATAATATAATTTACACTACAAAAATATGCAAAAGAGTAAAGTGTTATTATTAATAAAATCTTTGTAGAAAGATATTTTAGTCAAAGCATTGTCTCGTGCCGACATAGCCAAGATAATTCAGGTAAGATAAAAAATATTTAGTGCAACTTACACTATAAAAATGTGGAAAAAAGATGTAATTAATTACGTCAATTATGAAACGAGTAAAGTAAGACATATAACAATTCACGCTACATAAAAATATCAAAAATCACACTTGCGAATTTGGTGAACGGACACTTTCAGGTCTTCAATTTTCTCCTTTAAAAAGATTACATTATTAATAACACTTCTCCCTTTTGCATATTTTTATAATGTAAATCATATTAAGTATCTTTATCTCACTCGCTTCTTCACTTGGTTCACTCACTTCACAAAAATTTGTAATTAATCATATTATTCTTTTAGAATAAAAAATTGGATAACGAAGTGAAAGTTTGCAATGTAGTCTCTAAAGCTGACACAGATAAGGTAAAAGATACATCATATAATTTATACTATAAATTTATACTATATATGTAATAAAAAGAAGTATTATTAATAATATAATTTACAGTATAAAATTATATAATAGAGAGACACATTATTAATTATATAATTTTTTCAGAGTGAAGTTCCAGTCGAGGAAAACGAAATTGAAGAAATGATCTTTAACGAGATTAACGTAAAAGATATATAATATAAATTTACACTATATAAAAATGTGCAAAAAAGAAATGTTTAATTAATAATTAATAATATAATCTTTTTAGGAATTTACGGTAAAAAATAATATTCTCATAGGCAAACAAGATTCAATTGATAAAGATTTGCATATCGGAAATTTAATTTTGCTTGCATTAAAAGCAGAACCACAGTTTATTGGCCAGGTAATATTTTCTAATAATTATTACGCACACAATATATACGTACATAAGACAGATATATTTATTTAATCAATAGTGCAGAATCTCGCGCGCAATTCTACTAGACAAGATATACATTGATTAATAACAATGCAACAAACACGTCTTGCAGATAGATGTGTTGACGGGAGAACGCACTACATTCCAGGAGATGAGAGAGAAGAGCGTAAAATGTGCATCATGGCTACAAATAATGTTAGAAGGCGAAGATCAAATGGATAAAATAATAACAATATGTACGCGCAATCCAATGCAAGCCTATATCCCGTATCTGGCATCGTTGTATCTTGGACTTATGGTGAATCCGTGGGACGAGAACTATTTTGAGAGTAGATTGACTTTTTACTGAAATTTCGCGCACATTTTATTTTTAATATCTCAATATATCTTCAAGTTACGCTTATTAATGTATATTTTTAGGTAAGGTACGAATTCTTTATTTCCTAAACCAAAATATGCCACGTGTAATCTTCGTCGATGATGAGAACGCTGTAGAAATTCGCAACGCTGTTCGCATATTAGAGGAATATGATCCAAGAATTGAGTCCACAATCGTGACTTTTGGTGAGGTGGCAGGATTTTTATCTCTCAAAAGAATTCTGGAAATTGATGTGGATAAAACAAAAATTGATGAATTCAAATGTAACGCTATGTACAGACACATTGACACCGCAATAGTGATGTTTTCTTCGAATGCGGTAAGCTATCCCGGCGAGGTGCAAATTCCATACATGGCGTTTGTATCTCCGTCAAATCTCGAAGTGCCATTCATGACTTATGGCGAGACCGGCCTATGGTATGGATCTTTATGTTGGACTCACAGTCTGCTTCTAACAGTTCGTGCCATACTTTCATTTAATACAGCGCTCAAAATCCAAAAAATGTGGTTCGACGAGGAAACTTTCTATTCAATAATAACAAAGTACAAGGTAGCGTATAAGAACATATAAATTTTGTTGGAGATGAATGAAATATAAAATATTTATGTTAATTTCAGCCGACATGGGTGTTTCTTGAAAGCAGCCTGTGCGAAAAAATGTTAGTCACCGATATTATGGTGAAGAGATACGACGTCTCTTGCTTGAAGCAATTCTTATTCGGCGATACACCGATCGACGAAGGGATTCACGAAGATTTTATCGACTTTCTGCCGTCACATATCGCCGTCACTCAAGTGTATGGTATGAACATTTGCGATTACTACTGTTATGAATGATCAACGCAATGTCTAAGCGACGAAATTTCTGAAATCAACGATTCGTGAATTATTTCAGCTGACACGGGAGCAGGCGTGATTGCTTATCAGCGAGACAGCGGTGCTCTTAAATGTAGTGGCTACATAAGTAAAAACGTTAGCGTGGCGATCATTGATTTGGACACAAAAAAAGTGGTGGGTAAAAACGTGTGTGGTGAGATATGGTGCAAAACTCCGTACAATTATACACCTTTTAAGCAGAAAAATTACCCTGAGATGGACAGTAAATTCGATGGTTTGTGCATATGTGTTACATTTTTTAAATCAATTTTATAACTAGGATTATTAAAATGACTTAGAAAATTCAGAAATTTTACAAATTGTTAATGCAAAATTATCCATTGAAACATGATGTTACGTGCTGTTTAGATTGGTACTGTACGGGAGATTTCGGCTATTACGATGACAATGGCGAAATTTACGTTCTCGATAAGGTGAAGCATCTTATTAAATACAAAGATTCGATTGTCATACCGTCAGATATCGAGGAAATGTTATTAAATAATTGGGACATAGCTGAAGTCGTCGTAATACCGACTGCAAATGGTAATGACGGTCAGCATCCGATGGCTCTTGTTAGAAGACTAATCGGAGTTAAGGTTAGAAGCTACTTGTTTCTCGTAATAATCGAATAAACTTTTTCTTTATAAAAATTTACACTGTCGTTTTTTAGATAACCGAAGAGCAATTAATAAAATGTGTAGAAGAGAAAATGGACGATAAATGTAAACTTCGCGGAGGCGTTTATTTCATGCAACACCGTTTTAAACGTCTTCCTAATGGAAAAGTTGATCGGTCGCGGGTTACATATAACCAAGATTGGCGGCAACTAGACATTGCAATAGATAAAATAATGGGGATAATAATCGCATTTGATCAGATGAAAAACTATACAGCTATACAGCAAATCGAAGAAGAAAACAGGCGTGAAATAAGCTAATACGCACGCAATATGTTGTATTATAACATCAAAATCATGAAATTAATATGCACTTGTGATGAAAAGGACAAGTATTTGACGTAATGTTTTTTAATAAATATGTTATTTAATATCACAAATGCATTGTAAATTATTTCGTTAATATTTCGTTGTATGACAAACTTAGTAATAAAAAATTTACTGTAAATATAATTCTTAATAAACTGTTTTTCACATACCTAGGAAGATTAAATTACTATTGTATATATATAACAAATATTAGATATATTATCCTATGAACATTATGATATATAATTAAATAGAATATAAGGCTCTGGTGATTTTAAATCAAATAGGATCAATAAGAAGCATGAAGAGCCAAAATGCTAGGTCTACGTGCGAAGGTTATAATATATTCTTTAAAAGTATTTGCAAACGTTATTATAATATATAATTGACTGTGTATAGAGCAAATTTTAAAAATAAAGATAGAATAAGAAATGCGAAACATTTCTTTTCTGGTTTTCCTTATAAATCTGTGTTTCCACATTTCCAATCCTTGGAATCGAATATTTTAAGATCTTGATACAAAATATTTTTGGCTAACACTTGACAATGAAAATGTTTTAATGCCAAATTGCAACGTTAATTTTTCAACGAGAAGAAGCTCAAGGCGCATTCTTCTCTTTTCAGCTGAGCAAAAAATTGCTGTTTGCAAATTAATCCTCGCTATTAATATTTTATAAAATAAAGATATAATGCTAAAAATTGGATCACGTTATTGTCAAAGGAATGAATAAAAAGCCATTGCGGTAAAAATATGCCAGCAACGACGAATCTTTTCACCTTGTCACGATGGATGAGCGGATCGCGAACATCCGCGAAACGTCACCGCGGCGAGATTATTAATGGCCATCTATCGCCGACGCTGACGTCTCGCGTTCATGCGAGTTAAACGCGAATAAAAGGTGAAAGGCATTGATCAGTGTGATGCGCGCGCGATAGTAATCACTTCCAATAAATCGCGTTTCTCGACATGACGTGTCCAAAAAGTGTCATAGAAAACGTCAATCCGTGATAAGCTGTGGTGAAACGTTTATACAGTATTTCTCTGTGGAATAGTTCTGCGACGCTCTTGTACTTCGACCCACCGCAAAATGTTGAGCGTCTTACGCAAGCTACATATATGCAAAACACAATTTATGCAATTTACATGGGCACTCGATGTCGAGTCGACATCGGTGACATATGTGAGCCCGCTTGCCGTCGGCCTGCCACCGGTTTTGTATCCGATATACATGCATACGCGAAAAACAATTTATGTCGATTCAAGCCGGAATTTCGGTTGCTCCCAGGGGTGGAAAAGTTAAGTGCCCGTCCCGGAACGGTGGCCGGTAAGGAGACGGTCCACAATTTTCTTGCGCTTCGAGGTGGAGCGCAAGCCCCCGCGTGTGAGTTTCATTGAATATGAAACTCGCCCTCCGGCTATCCGAACACCCGTTTAAGTTAGGCTCCGCTCGCGTGAAATTCGGCTATAAAATGCGATTTATATGTCACGAAGTCTCTCGTCTTTCTATCAATAATAAAAATCGTCTCTAAATGTGTCTTAAATTTTCACGACGTATTTTTTTCTTCCGACAGTTTGTTCTTGTATAAAAGAAATAATCTCTTTCAATTTCTTAGCAATATTTTGTAAAATATAAAATATCTTGACACTAGGTATAAAAATTGGATAATTTTATTTGCAATTTCAAAAGTAAAATGAGAATCGAAACTTCTGAATTTTGTTTTCTTACGTTAAACTTAAGTACATCACGACAAATTTTCATTAACGTTTGCATTTCTAAGCTTAGTTTCCTAAAGATCTTTTATTCCTTTATTTAGAACTCTTATAAAACTAATAAGAGCTTATTTCACTTTTTTTAATATATAAAACTTTGACATTTTCTATTAATTTTCCTTAAATTGGTTTTCAATTGATAAAAGAATTGATCAATGAAATTGATAACGACTTTGCAATATCTTGTATAAAAATGTGTGTATAATAGAAAAAGCAGTAATAACAGCCGACACTCTGTACAAGATAACAATGCCAGATCTGTCCGATCAGCAAACTTTTGCTATAATGCAACCTGCAAAAAGCACGGGAGGCGGCGTTGTTTAAAGTTTCATGCGCCGTCGTGAGTTTTCGTGAGCGGATTGAGCGAAGAAAGCCCGCTATTATCCGCCAAGTTTCGTCACGGATATCGGATATCTTCGCGCGGATTTACACCTCGTACGCAATTCGTTCGCGTGCATCTAAAAACAACGATGGGCTTTGCGTTGTAGGGTTCTAGGGTTGATTTTAAAGGATTTAGAGGATGGGGGATAGCGGCGACGGACACAAAGCCAGACGAGAGCTCGGTGTAAACGCGCGAGTTTTCGAACGAAACGAAGCGAACTTTCGCGACTGACCGGCTGGTCGGACCGGTCATAAATATTCCCGGACAAGATTGAGGCAATAAATTCGCAAACTTTCTCGATCGCCAACGTTTTAATGGTCGCGACGAGTCTATGGTGGTGCTCGCCGCGAATTGCATGCGGGACTTCTGACTGAAAGCTACGGCAAAAGTGCAACAGCCCTGTGTAAAACAGCATGGTCACGATGTTCCTAAATGTAATAAATTTTTTCACGTAAACTCGGAATTAATTTTCGATTGAGAAGATTTTAGAAAAATTGTCAATTAACGTGACTTTTTCTATTAACGCGTTAAATAATTACTTTGATAATGAAATCTATCAAATTAATCTCTGATAAACTTGTAAGAGCAAAAATAAGTTATGTTTTTATTTTTAATCGCTTGGAATTCTATTTCTCATAGAGTCATTTGGAAATGATTAATATGGCATTTACATTAATGTTTATATTATTAACTTAACGTTTCATAGAAATAATAAAAAAGAAAAATAAACAGATGTTAAAAGCTTTCATATTTCAAATTATACCAACAATAAATGGTAAAAGCAAAATCGCAATATGTAAACTATTCGAATTCTAAATAGGCACAACCAATAAATGGTATGTTATTGGACCTTTCGATGCCATATTAATATTATATAGGCATATTTGATAGCATATTAATATTATATTGGCATATTAATAAACCAGAATGCTATTAAAAAAGATGCAACCACGATTTGGAATATCGCAATGTTTAATAAATCTCACACGACCTTCATTGTCGATTTGATTTAAAATTGTCGATTGTCGATTGATTGAAAGTTTTATACATTTTTCTACAATCTTTTCTACTAGAACTTAAATGTTAAAATGTACATTTCGTTAATTTTTATCCCTTATAATGTTATGCTTTGTTTCATCACAATTCGCCAAAAATTTTTTATCTTAGCAACAATTCGTAAATTATCTCGATACTTTAATTATCGAAAAATTTGCTCTGTAATATATTAATTAACAAATTTGTTCCTAAATGATATTCTGCTTGTTACGTGACAATCTGTATGCAATGTATCCAAAATCTGGTAGAAATTTATTATGCTGCTATTATTTCGTAATCATAAGCAGACAGGAGGACATTTGGGAATATCGAGTGGTAATGACGTCGATATCGATTTGGTTAATAATGAATGAAAGCGCAAAAGCCTGACTGAAAGGGGTTTCGATTGCGATAATGATAAGGATGCACGAGAGTGCAATTGGTGGTGCAACGGGGTACAAGCGAGCTAGTTGCGACCGGCCGGTTGATAGCCCTCGGAAATGCCTATTCAATTAAGCAGCGCATCGCGTTCATTCATCGCCAATTTCCGCGAGTTAGACTACAGGCTGCCATATAATAGCTCGTGTTTCACGATCATTCCAACGCGGCTCTTCACGCTACGAATCAATGCGAAGTATTCTCTCAGAGAGTATAGTATGAATTGCAATGCATGGCAATATCCACAAGCTTGTTCCATAAAAAAAAAGAAATAACAATTTCAAAATTGAAACATAAATTCGAAAACTCGCACTGGAGCATAAATTCGGAAAAGTCATTTTTGAAGCAAAGAAAAAGAGACTTTTTGTGCAAGTGTGTGTAAATAGATATAACATATATGTACATTATTAATAAAACAATTATAGTTAATAAAACAAATAATTAAAATGGTTAAATGTAATCTTGCTCTTCAATCAGTTTTTACGTAGATTTTGTCAATAAGATTTTTTTTATAAAGAAATCCGCGCTTGAAAATATAATTTTCACGCTCTATTATTGTTAACAGAACTTTAAATTCACTTTGTCATCGAGATATTTCTGATAAAACAATATAAAATGTTTTTTATATAAAATAAAAAATACTGTAATGTCTCATCGTAAAATTTTGGTCATAAAGAGAAATTTATTTTAGAATGTATCATAGATTTTTGGTCAACCAGTCACAGCTTTCAGATATCCGATATAATGTAATACTGTCGCACTTCGCAAGCGCGTTCAGCATTAATAATTCTTATCTTTTCATCCGGTGCTGCTCGAGATAGAAGCCTCCCTTGAGCTCCCTTGAATTGCGAGGACGACGACACTCGGGAATATTTTGCAGTCTTTTCTCTCAACAATTCCAACCTATCTCGATCTCCAGCTCACTTTTCTCAGAATGCATTTAGGAATGCAGCGTGACTTCCGGTGCGCGAGCGGAAGTTACGGGGAAAAACAGAGAGTGGAATATTTAAGGTGATGCGCAAGGAGAGAAGAGGCGCGAACGAAATTTCTCAGGAACGGAAACGCGAGAGTGAGAAAAAGATGCGAAGGGGTGGATCGGAGGGAGAAGAGATGGGGTCATCGACAGGTCGATAGCGAAAGCGGAGATAGTTCTAACAGTCGAAGAAAAGAGATCTTGCTTTTTATTTCCAAGATGATCTTTTTCTTTCAGCGAAACAAGACTAACTCATACCTCGTTAAAGAATCATTAGTAATGCTTACATTGCCGCTTTCGACTGACGGAATTTGTCATTTTCTTCTCAGTTTCTTTTTTTACCTGCTGTCATTCGCAGTGCGATTGGCAAGAATTTTCAGATCTTTGTCTTTGTAGAATAATGCAGAAAGAGGTGCTACAAAAATAAACTAAGACATCGCTTTCATCAATCTTCTTGCTTGTTAAAATGAAAAAAAATGAAGAATTTATACCACTAGGATTGTCTTC